CACATAAAATGAGGAAACAGTGCGGAAAAAAAATATCTTTCTGCAATATGAAAGACTTGACTCTGGCCAAAAATGTGTATCACTGTTTAACAAAACAAAAATCCAGGCCAGCGAGGCTACCAAAACTCTTTATCAGGTTAATTCTGAGACAGAGATTATGAAGAGGTACAGAACAGAAATAGGAAGCCTGTTTTTCTTCCCTCCCCCCCATCCTTGCCCAGGTATGTTTTTTTTCTATTTGAAATACAAAAAGTAAATTGTTTAAAATAGCAAATAAAAGGAAAGACCATGTAAGTCCATTAGAGCCCAGTGCAAAACAGGAAATCAAACAGGATAAGATTGCTTCATAAAACTAAATCGTTTCTTTACGTGGGCCTTCAGGGACAAAGATAAGAATACCTGTCCTGGGACTACTCTTTCCACATGAAGCAGAGATATTAAAAAGCTTGTGAAATTAAAATGGTAATAAAGACAATGTTTCTTTAGGCAAATTAACTGCATGATGAAGATATCAGCTGCTCTGGGCAGGATGAAATCCTGCCCCTATCCACCTTAGGTTTGCCCCTAGGTGTTTGGGAAGGCAGAAGGAAGGATAAGGCCTTGAGAAGTGTTCCAGATGCACAGATTCTCAAAACACAAGTCCCTCTTCTGTCCCCAAATGAGGAAAACCCCAAAGCTCCACAGTGACGAACCAGTGTACCTCAGCCCTGATGCAGAGGCCAGAAGCAGCAGTGAGAAAAGCGCTTTGATTATGAACTCATATGTAGAAATGCTAGCTTGCGCCATCTGCAGCGACATTTTTTTGGGAGAGAAGAAGTCAAGCGTTAATACAGAACCAACTCTGGCTACACAGACTTTTGAAAAGCTGTCAGCTGCCAGCATAGCTTACAATCACAACTCACCCCTGGACACATTTCAAATTAGTGACTGGCTCCATGATCTATCCTAATCCTTTAAACCACCCAATCATTTAAGTGCCAGACTTGATCTTGGTTCCAATAATGACTTATTTAGAAACCATTTAAGGAATATTAGGAAGTCTTTCAGGTAAAAAACCCTACCAAACAAAAAACACTACCCACAGATCAGACACTGAGTAACCCCACAGACACCTTGAGATAAATCACCTCTCCTATTTAAAGTTTCTTTCTTTGTATTACTTAAATATGTGCTGATGTAACCTATGGCAAAACAAGATACTTCCTATATGGAAACAGAGTTTCATTCACACCTGTGTTGTCTCGAGATGTTTCAGGAATGCCAGCACCTTGACATGCTTCCTGTGGTACTGCGCTGATCTGGGTATTTTTATGCTGGAGGCCAGCACGCGTAGGTGCAGTTTGCTGCTGGCTGTTTTATTAGGGATTGAGAATGATTTATAATTACTCTTAATGATTTCAGATCTTGTCAGAAATAGTCTCATTGACTCCTTCTGCCTATTAGAAAATACAGGTTTTGAGTCTGTTGCCTCCTTTTGCCAGTTCACAACCTGACAACCCTGAGCTCAAACACCCCAATTGTCTTCCACTTTCTAGAGGTGGCTTAATCCAAACTCCACCACCTTGCTACCCCTAGACCCATCTCTTCGTCTTTGCCTTGCTTTGTTCTTGTCCTCTTCAACACCTACTCTGCTACATAATTGTTCAGACTTCTCACAGCAGGTTGAAGTTGAGAGGTTAAGTGAAGAGTAAGCATAGGGTTTCACCTGCTGCAAGCTCTTTCTCATGCAACAGGACGTGAAGAAAGAGTGTCATCCTACAAATTCCACTGAATTGTAATCTACCATATTTACTCTTTGATTATACACAGTGAGGTCTATGCTATGAACTCTTACACTCTTCCCCACACCCAAACGCATTGCCACAGTCAAAAGCAACATAGGTTCATTCATCCCAGAGGCAATCACCTGCCTGCTTGGGGCTCTGTTGTATTTTCTGTTCCTTCACTGGTAGTGTGTTGTTGGGCCAAGAATATATTACTTATTTTGGCACTAACCTCCAGGTCCAAATCAGCCATACAGACTTACAGTGCTGTAAAGTCATAATGATGCAATCACACAAGAGTGGTCAAATGCTTATGAAGTGTGTATATAAAGTAAAATTAACTCGCTGCCTCTGCAGCTCTGCTCATATTGTAGGAGTTGCTTTTCTAATTCCATGATGTATACTCTCCCTCTTTATTTCACCTTTTCAACCCTGTTTCTCTGCCTGCTCTTACCACTGTTTCTGATCAGTAGCCATGATCTACAACTGAAATGGCACAATTGGATACAGTGGGGCTGAAAATAAACTATCAAAACATCAAAGCTGATCCAAAAAATAAGTGACATAAGCCACTAATTTCCACAGAAACCATGACTACCTTTCCTGCAAAACTCCTACCATAAAAAGGAAAACATTCAAAACAAACCTTCACATGTATCAGCACACTGCTTTCCAAATTAGATATTTTTCACTTTTTATTTTTGTTATGGAGAACTAGAACACCTATTTTAGAGGAGGCATTTTTATAGATGGTACTCCAAACTATAGCTGAGCCAAAGACTACCATTCTGTTACAGGATCTCTCCAAAAGTCACATCAGTCACTCGGATTTCCCTGTTGAATAGAAATGGCCCAACTCTGGTTTTGCACCAAACTGAAGCTGTTTGTTTCTGCCTTGGCTTCCATCTTGGGCCACCTCTGTATGAAAACAGACAGTTTTCACAACACACACTCACAAGTGAAGACTATTTGCATTGTCTCTCTCTGTAAAAGAGTAATCCCATCACCTCTCCTTTGGATCTGCACATGAGAGTGAAGGAAAAAAAAAATGCTTTTGTGACCTACAAAAGCCTTACTTGAAATAATTCTCTACGACTTGAGGCCTTTTGGAATAGAAGGGTTATATTGTTTTGACTTGATTAAAGCTGAAAAGTTGATTTGACATCCTGTTGTCAAGGAAACCAATTCACACACAAAAGAAAACAGTTGTGATGGTATCATTCAGACTATTCAAGTGACCTTAGAAAGAAAAAAAGGCTTCAGTTCCAAAGATTTGTATTCAACTCACTTCACCACTGGTAGAAATAAAGATCATTGCTCTTTATGCTTACTGGAAAACAGTTCTCAATATGGAAAAAACAAAATGCCACATCTTCTTCCAACTGCCAGATCCAATACTTTGCTGGGACTGTACACATAAACGCACCTACCATTTATTACCTATTTCAAAGAAGCTCAGGAAGAACCACACAGAAGACATATAAGGAAGGAGAAGGAATTTCGTTAGTTGACAGGACGGTGATAAATACCCCCCGACACATACCACACCTATTGAACAGCAGCTTGCAAGCCAAGCTTTAAAACATCCTCCTCAGCTACAAATAAAGCTTACCTCGAGCACAGCAGTGTTTGAGCCCAGCTTTGTTTTCCTGGGAGACAGCAAATAGCAGCATTTTTTTTTTCTCTGCCAGCCTCCTAGATCCCTCCAAAATGGAATTGTTCATTTGTGCAATAAATGGGATTCAGGTATGCCCAATCTGCTCTCTCCTCCTACTGAGATTATCCCAAAGAGGCAGAACCGTCCTGCTGACCGCTACCACCATCATCTAGCTTTGCAGCCCATATAAGTCTCACTGAAGTTTAATTTCCTGACAGCTGTGGGTAGATTGGAAATATGAAACTTTCTATCTATTCATTCTCACACTGTAATTATACATCTCTTTCTCTGATGACATAGCCTCTGCCTGGCCGAGTAAGCAAGCAGATGACTGACTAGCAATTTATCTGGAATTCAGATTAGGAAAAAAATAGGCATGATATTAATAAGGAGAGAAATACACTGAGGAACAAATGCCAGTGTTCTTACATTATTGTCATTTATGGGCATCATACCAAAGGTCATGGAGATAATAAGCCTCAGTCATTTTCCATTTGTTACACAACATACAAATTGCCACAGTGTTAATGAATATCTTTCCCCACTCCTGGCCAGCCAATACACTGTATTATTTCTTCTTAGACAAGCACCTAACCCCTGGAATTCATTATTTCCATCACTTCTTTGTCCTTAGGGCTGAGCACAAATGCCACAAGGCAGCTGTGACTGGAGCATCAAATGCTTCATATGCCTGAGCCTGACTTCTTTTTGATAGAGCATTTTTGCTGGAAGTTCATACAATGCATATTTATATTATTTATGATCATCTATGCACACACAGTCATATATGCTCTCTTCTTGCAAGCGTCTTAAGCCCCTTGCAGAACACACAAAAAATCTTTTTCATTTACTCTACTTTGTAGATATCGTTTGATACTTATATATTGAAATAATAGTTATGCTAGAAACACCAACTGACCACAGCAATAGAAGTTACCATGAAATAACTGAATTTCCACTTAAAATTATGACAACTGGAAAGTAGTTCTTGGAATATTCACATAAATGCAGAAGGGCTCATATGAAGGAATATACTGCTCAAACCCTCTTTACTCCTAATAAACTCCTAAGAGCTAAGATATCACAGCTGAGCTATAGAGAGAGTAATGCCTCATTTCTAATCTGTACTTCATTGTATTTAAAGTTTAGGAATTTTGCATAAATATGGATAGCAACAGCTGAACTAAATTCATACTATTTCACAATCTGAGGGTTTTTTTAAGATGATAAATTATACTGTAAGTTTAATTACGGTTCACCATAAGTATAAAGAATATACAGATGAAAAGAGAATATTGAAGGCTGGTAGCTTTGTATAGTTGTGAAAAAGACTAAACTTTATGTGCATAATTAAAATTAGAAAGAAATGAATGAAGGCTAACATAAATTGCTGAACTAAAATAAGCCAAGGTTACTTTCTGCGTGTAATCAAACAACCTCCACCTCTGTCTAACCAAACTAAAACACCACATACTGCATTTTAATGAACATCTTATCTTGGTATTTTCTCCTCTCCCACCTAGCAAACCCAAACAGCAAAAGCCAGGACAAAAACAAGCTGATGGCACGGCTAAGCTTACCCACAAACAGGTCCATACTCTGTTATGAGTTTTGTGTGGTTTTCCCAAAAGCCCTGGATAAAAGAAAAATGACAAAGTATTTTAGAACAGTACTTAACAGAGAACCTATTATGCAGTGTTGCTAAGACTCACACTAAAGCTTTGAACCTCAACTAGGACAGCTATGGTATGGCAGGGGGTTGGAAGTAGGTGATCTTAAGGTCCTTTACAACCCTAACTGTTCTATGATTAATTCATGACCCCACCCTCCTATCATTGTCTATCTGTGACAATAGAGTCTGGAAATCATGACTGAAAAAAAAAAAAAAAAAAAGACCCAACCCCAAAAAAGACCTGGAAACCCTCGACGCCCAAAAAAGACCTGGAAACCCTCGACGCATTTTTCATCAGGGTTTTTATGCTCCAAAATATGTTACCACTTAATGACTATCATTTTTTTTAAGCAATTTCATGATTAGGGTCCTGTCAATATTCTCTTACGTGTGTGTGGATGGAAAAACTGACAGAGAAATTAGTAGCAGAATAAGCATATGACTTACTACACTCAAGAGAAACACAGGGAATGTGTAAAAGGTTTTCTTGGTTTGCTTTTAGTTATATTATTAAAAAAAGCCAAACAACCCAAACCTGCAAAGCTGGAGTTTAACATGAGGCAGTCACCTGGGACACACTGCAGAACAGCAAGCAGATTTATTTTAACAAACTTTTAAAATTTTTACTGTGTTTCATATTCATAATTGATGAAAATTGGTATCCATTTATCTAAATAAACCCGCCACTAGACTAAATTGTTAGCGTCCTAAATGAATTCAAATTGATTAATCTGAAAGAAGGTGTGCGAATGTATCCCTAAAGTGAATAGGAAAAAATCTTTTTTAACAAAACTGCAATATTTGAGAATCATACTGCATTGTGCTTGTAACTTGTCTATGGAAACATAACACATTTGACTGCATTAATCTGCATTTATATTAATTCAAGAAAGACTATTGTGCTCTATCTTCATTCTTCAGAGAAAATTCACTAACAAAGCAGAATACTTACACCTCATATTGATTCTTCCCTGTTTTTTATGACATACTGAAGAATATTAGCTAGAACAATATGAACTATTTTAAATACATTAACTACAGACATAAATAAACAAGACCATATAATGTGTGCATGCTTTGGGACCCTTTTACCACACTAAGCAAAAGAAAATCTGGTAATCAAAAGTAGTTAACCTATTTAGCACCCAAATTAACACAGAATTTGCATCACCTACAGTCCTCCCCTTATAAAACGCTTGATTTGTTTTTTATTCTTATATACAGCTGTGCTTTATTTATTTTTATATCCTGGACTTGCAATATGTTTTTTCTAAAGGACAATATGTCTTCAGGTTAATGCAAGCACTTCAGGTTTTCCCTAAGGTACACAAAGTTAAAGCACTGGATGGTGTGTAAGAAAACACACTAAAGATAAAATTATGAAAGTGCTGGTTTAGATGATTACTTAAAAAAAAATATATATATATATATATATATATATTCTCATCTGGAAAATATTTTACTATTGAGGCAAGCAAAAAAGCCTCATCCATTAGCACCCGTAATCTAAGGTGAACAAAGCCTTTGTAATACCACAAATACAAACAGCTAACTCAAAAAGGCTTTTATCTGTAAACACCAAGGGAGGGTAAAAGATACGTACACATTCACAATGACCTGCATTTTGCTGTAGAGATACTTCAGCAGTAGCAGGATTTCAGCCTACAGTTGCTACAATTTCAGCATTACAAAGGTTGTCTACTGCCTTCCCCTGCTGATGCAAGGGGAAATCCAGGGGACAAATTCTCCCAGCACTGTTCTCCAGGCAGCCACCTAAGACTGCCCAAAGCAGGCTCAGGTCATCAATGCACTCTGACCACTTTGCCTGGCAGAGTGGCTCCAACCTGTGTACACACAGCTGAGATTTACAGCCGTGCTGAGGCACCAGAGTGACACAGGGCACAGATCGAGGTTACCAGGCATTTGAACGTGGGGTGTAAAGCACAACAGCGGCTACTGCATGGGGCAGGGGGAATTCCAGTCTTGTGAGATGATGCCAAATCAGGTTTACCCTCTTGCCCACTTTCCCTCTAGCCTGAGCCTTCATTAAGGACATCCCAAAGTACATCCTGAAACTTGCCTGCCAAGTTTTACTTTGAATTGTGAGCACGTACATAGGTATTGCACTTGCTGTATCCACCAGCTGCATTCCACTGAGCCAGCAGGATATTAACATTTACAAGAAGCCTAGGCTTGAAATGATTCAGTGAAAAAGCCTTCCAGAAAACCGGCTTCTTGGAAGTGCTGCTCCTGGCTCACTCATGTAAAGGGGTCAGGGAGAGCACATTTAAAATCAAGCCTGTTAACCAATAACTGGTTTTCCACCTCCAAGTCTCATAAATGATTGCACTGGCTTAAAATTAACCACACTTCATTTTTCTTCCCCCAAAGTGAGATGTGCAAGGCTGCAGGATATGGGGGGAGAGGAGGAGTTGAAAAATATCTGGGAGAAGTTGTGAGAAAGCATCCTCAGGAGTAAAAAAAGCGCTTGTTCTCTCACTCCAGGACGCTTTCTCACATCCTGCACCACCACACACACATACACACCACTGCCTGCCTCCAGCATCCACCCCCAGGACCCAATGCTATCCTGGTCTCCTTCACAGGCACCGTAGAACAGGTCTCATCAGGCTGCCTGAGAAAGACAACCAAACAGCACATGAACAATCCTGGGAGGTTACAGTGGCTGGAACACAGGCAAGGCAGAGGGAATGTGTATATGTGTCACTTACAAGCCAGAGCATGCCTTCTGGCTGTAGGAAGCTGGGGTCATACAAAAGCATGTGTATTTCTTCTCAATAGCCATGACAAAGGCGAATGAACCAATGCGATGGTCTCAGTACACAGGGAAGGGATATGCCACATCCATGTTGCTCTGCCAGTTTTGCAGCCTGAACACTGCTTCCAGTAGACAGGTACCATGAAAACATCCTCCTCCTGCTATGAGTCATGTTTGAAGCATAGCAAGACTCGCAAGTGCTTTTGGTAACTTATTTACTCTAGCCGAGGACAAGCTGCTCCAAGGTTTATTATTGCGGGTTTGTTCAGGTTTATAACTGCAACTGTACTTACTACATACAGAAAAACTAAGCATTTGCCCATCAACAGCAACTGTTTCACTAGAAAACAGAGGTCAGGACCTCTCTTTTACTCAAGATTGCCCAGTGGGTAACATCAAGAGGGACAGCAAACTCTGAAATGGTACCTGCTGGCATGTATCCAGGGGCTTGAACAGCCATAAGATAGGAGCTATAATGAAGCAATGGGAGGGTTCAGAAGGGGATAATCAGGCAAAAAAGGAGACACGTATTCTGATTTTTTTTGGAAACCAGAAGGAAAATGAAGAGCAAAACAACACTTGGTATTCCAAGATGACACTGTGTGCACCAGGAAGAACTGTAGCACATTAAACAGTCACTCATAACAATGAAGTGTAAAAGCATTGTAATGCTATTCCAAGTCAGAAAAATCACTTAGCTTTTCCTTTATTTGGAAGCTGCAGAATACGAATTGTCATCAACAACTACTCAGGAAAGGGCTAGGGCAGGGGGAATTTGTTGTGTGTGGCCTCTACAGTGAGGTAGTGGCCTGATGACAGCCCATTATCAAACAAGATAATACAGGAGCATGAAAAGCTTCTTTCCCTGAAGAAAGCATATTTTACAGCATCTGGTATACCATGGAAACAGCAGCTCAAGTGGGCTGACTGCTGCACACCCAGAAGGCTTCTTTGTTTATATGGCTGGCAGTTGCCTCCCTACAGGGAATTTGCATTCTCCCCTTCCTCTGAGCGTATATCATCAGCTGCATCTGTGGGCAGAATCACTCATAAAACCAAACCCTACTCTCAGGAATACAGGTGCAACCCCTATGGAAGGGAAAAAGATTTGGGTCTGCATCAGCTAGAGCAAAGCCTGATCATGGCCAACCATCTATCTTGAGATACTGAACGCAAAGGGTCCAGTGTGAGCAGCACATAAATAAACGGGCTTCAGAAAGGACTCCCTCAGCTCAAGTACCCCCTTTCCTTTTTTCAATGGATTTTGCAACTGCAAGACAGATCTTTCGGCAATTTCCTCCATGTTGCATATTCACCTTGCTAGTTCCTCACAGCAAAGAAGAAATCTGCAGCAATGTCATCTTCCCTCGTTGCTGAAAATGGTTGTAGGCACTAAGCCAAAGAGGCAGTAGTACTGTGCATATGGATTTCTGGGGTATCCAACATGAGGCATATCCAATCTAGTATTATTACTTTCTCAATACCTGCAGATCTTGTGGCTGTAAACAGGGACTTAAGTGACTTTAAGGTTAAACTCAAGCTTAAGTGACCCAGACTGCATGGAGGACACTTTGAAACTTTTCAGCTTGTTGCAGCTGGAAAATAAATCATGTGGTTTAGGAACTTACCTAGAGACCTCAAGGGTTACTAGATAAAATGAAGAGGGCCACAAAGCTGGGATCCAGCAGATGCATGCACCTCACAGTAGCTCATAATTTGAACTCCAAAGAACCGACTTCCAGAATGAAACGAGGGTAGCCCTTGCATTTTGCGGTGCATTGAATGCCACAAAAGCTACTGAGCTGTGCGGAGATGTATGTGGTGTGCTCATAAAAATCCAGTGCAAGTGGGAAACATTAGCCATGCAAAAACAGACAAGTGAAAAAGGGTTCTTTTGCTGTCCGTTTCTGAAAAGCATCAAGTATTACCTTATGTCAGTCACTTACCAAGACAGCCTGGATTCAGACCTGTGACTCAGAAGCCAGAGATGCCACATCTTATCACCTGGCCCATACATGCTCCACCCTCATCACCCTGTAGTCAGACATTATGTTCTGTTTTACTGCGATATTAATAACCACAACATCATTGTATGAGTGCACACCTCAAATCGAGAGAAAAAAAAATCTATAGCTATTTATGGTACATAATAACAATGAATGACATTTATGGATGAGATTTT